GAAACCAGCCACATTGCAGGAACATGATGTAGACTGTTGTTCACACCAGTATCAGCAGTGTTCTTCAGGCTCTTGTGACCAAGCTGTGCTTCCCCTTGAGTCAGAATGACTCACTGTCTATATAAGACATGTCCTGATCACCTCTCGCAGATTATGAGGTTTATATATCTGAATCAGCTTAGGAGTGTGTGTTTGACACATTACAGGATAGAGGGACCTATAGTGCAGTTCTCTATATAAAATCTGTTCATCTTTGATAACACTAATTCAGTAACAAAGAAAATGTAACTTTATCCATTTTACTGTAAAGAATACCCTTTATGCTCATTTTCTGGTTCATACTATTAGAATATGTTTACATGTTTTAATGTTGTAAAAACACTTTATTTTCCTCACACTGTCTGCACTGAAACACCTGTACTCACCGTCTGTCTGTCTTTAGCACCTGTCCCTTTGATACCCCCCAAAAAGCCCAGTCTGCTCTGATTGGTCAGCTCCCCCAAGTCTTCCATATCTCAGCTATAAGATACTCTGTAACAGAAGACACCCCAATACAAGTAGAGCCAGTGTAACGGAATGGTACATACTTCCGGTCAGTGTTAATTTTGACAGCTATTTTCGGTTTAGTCTTAGTCTTGAGACGAAAATGCTAATTAGTTTTAGTCACATTTAAGTCATTTTTATCCTGCACAGTTTGAGTCTAGTTTTAGTCAACGAAAACCCAAAACGTTTTAGTCGACGAAACTTTTAGTCAATATGTTTTCTGTCTTTTAATCTTTAAACTAATCCAATGAGGCTAATTCATGTTTCAGAAATAAGACACATGAATTAGATACAAAGTGTTTTTGCTGGCTAGCGAAACATCCTGGCACAGACTATTTACTGGAGTTTACCAGTCTGTAGCTCAGGCGGCATTTGAAGATAATTACAAGCATGGCCATTTTCGACTTTCAGTGTCCGCTGGTCAACCACGAACATTTTCCGTATGTCACGTCTCGTCACATCTCATCATGTCTCGTCACGTCTCGTCACTTCTCGTCACGTCTCGTCACTTCTCGTCACTTCTCACCATCGAAAATGAAGCATAGATTTCGTCTTAGTTTTTATTATCAATATCTCCTTTTAGCTTGTCATCGTCTTGTTTCCATCATGGGAAAAAGGTCTTTGACGAAACATTTTCGTCATAGTTTTCGTCGACGAAATTAACACTGCTTCCAGTCTCCTAAATCGGGCGTGATCGTCTCTCTGAATGTAATTGAAATTACCCAGATCTTCTGCATCATGGGGTCCGTAGAGCAAGCGCAATTGAGACTAACAGCTGCTAACTTCCAGTTTAGCCCTCCGCTAACGTGAATGGGGCTCTTCTAGACTTTCCAAATGTTATCAGACCAAATGGATTTAATCTTGAAAGTGAATGGAATCATTTCAGGGGGGTTGTGATGCTAAAAAAACGTCCACTGACGTCTCTTTCTCAATGTAAGTCTATGGGGAAAAGTCTTTTTGGGCCAAATGGCATAACATGACAGGCCCATTGTAATTCCATGTTTGGCCTCTACATCAAACTGGCTTCTCCTTCAGCCATGTTCAGACATTCAGGGCAACACATCTGACCTTTGTCAGATCTATTGAATTTTTCTGTAAATAACAAACTGAGCACCCACTGGGCCCCAGCGCAGCAGACTCCACCCATCTGTTAATCCACTGTGGGATCAATACAAACACAAACACCTGGTGTGACTCTGCTGTGTTGTCACCCATAATGCACGGGACTGGGCTGTTGTCATGAGTCAGGACACATACTGTAGGTGTCTCTCTGCCATTCACAGCAAATCTGACTTCCCAAACAAACATCGGCGTCCAGCGTCAGAGGGGTTTACATGGGGTTGATGGAGGGAATCACTTTAGAGGATTAACACTGTCATCTGTTTAGATTATAGAGAGAGCTTACCTTCCCATCTGTCACCTTCAGGCTGAGGTAGGCACACTGGCTGTACTGTAAATGACGGAGACCACAGTCTGACTCACTCTGTCTGTTTATTCATTTATTCAGATTAAAAACATGACACCATGTCCCTAAATGGGAGCAGTGTCTGGATTGTTATGTGTTGCATATTAACACTGCCTGATTTACAGAGTGGGCCTCTCGCTTTTGGGTCCATGATACATATTAAGATCCTGTGACCCGGTCTGAGCCTCGCAGACTTCTGAGGTCGGCTGATTCTGGATTACTGGCTGTTGCCAGAGTTAAAACTAAACGTAGTGAAACGTGCCTTTTGCTTCTGCGCTGGTCAAATGTGGAACTAAATGCAAGAAGGGCTAAGACTTGGGACAATACTGACCCCCTAAAATCACGACCTACCTGTTTACCATTGCCTTTAATTACTTTTCCATAAATCACATGTATTTGTTAGTTTAATTTGTGTGCCTTTACTTGCATTTGTATCCTGGGCTTTAACTTGTGTAATCTGTAAAGCACTTTTGGTTGCCTTGTGCTATATAAATAAATTTGCCTTGTCTTTAGATGACTCTATTGATATGAGCTAAGATGACAGAATTCAGATTTACAGTGCTAGAGCGATCAAACCTCTTTCTATCAAGGTATATGTATGAAAGGTTCATGAAGTCTATATATTTCTATCTGAAGAGTCCTCATTATAAATAACAGACATACAACAGCCATATAAAGCAGCCTCTTACCCTATAATATGTCCTTAGAAATCGCCTATTAGTGCTCTAAAAAGCTGTATTTGTTGCAGTATCTGAAAGTACAAAGAAAGCCCAGGGCATGGGCGGATTATGAGACAATAGGCCCCTGGGTACATTTTGCAAAAGGCCCCACCACCTTTCCTACACAGGAGCAAGACACACAGAAGCCCCTTTTAAACTGCCAGATTTTTTGCGAATGTTGGGCCGTTTTGCTGGCCAGCTGTGAGTGTTTATACACACAGAGGCGGAATGGCGAGCTGATCCGAGGCGCCCAATTTTCCACCTCATAGGGTAGTCATATTGGCGGAACCCTTTTAGTTTAAACAGACAGAGGCGGCCTTTAGGTCTGTTTAAACTAAAAGGGTTCTGCCAATATGACTACCCTACGAGGCGGAAAACAGGAGGGGCTGTTGATGACTTGTGGGAGGAGCTGTTGATGACACCGCATGTGCGACCCACTGGCGGTGGATTAACAGGAAACAGCTGATAGCAGGAATTAGCGAGCAGCTAGTAGCAAGAGGGAAACGCAAACCTGACAGACACTAAAGATGAGCAACTGAGGAGACAAGGAATTGCGCACCCTCTTGCCCTCGCAAATGAAGAGGCCATTAACCGTCAGATGACGGGGAAGAACGGGTCGATTTACGAAAGAATCGCCGCCTGACTAGCCGTGGCTTCCCTCCCACGTCACTGTTTACGTCACACGCTGAGCTACACGTTTTGTTACTTGCTCATGCCCCCCATTGCCCTGAAAAAGGCGCATTCTATATAAACAAAAGTAGGTAGGCGGCATTTTGCTGCACTCCCCAATTTTGTTTTTATACTGCCAATTAGGGATGGGAATTGATAGGATTTTATCGATATCAATGCCATTATCGATTCTGCTTATCGATCCGATTCTTTATCGATTCCCTTATCGATTCCTCCTGTGAATTAATGATATCACCTCCTGTTGTTTGTAACCCAATACATCTGCTTTAGAACGTTTTATTATGAACCTTAAAGCCATGGTCTAGTTTAGAAAGATGATGAGAAAGATTTGAAAAAAAGCATCCCCAGCCTGAGTGTGTCAACACCACGCAGCTAGTGCAGCTAACTCAGGTGAGGCAGCTAACGCAGCTAGCCCAGCATATTATAACAACAAATAGCGTGCAAATCAACTCAACTGCCCTCATCTTACCATCCTTGGTGTTCCCGTGAAATCTGACAACGGGAGCGGGGATGCTCCGAAGCTCCACAGTGAGCTAAGCAGCTCCAAGGAGGCTAACAAGTGAAGTGAAGCTACGGCTTTGACCGCTTCTGTCTGCTTTTACGTGCATCAGGGTTTGATGGTTTAAACATCATGAATTTAAAATACTTGAAATAGTGTGTTTTTCATTCAGGAACACAAGAGCTCAGCTGAAGCTCTGCAGGAATCTCACTGCTTTTCTGTTTATACTGTGGGACGTTGGTGTTTCTGCACCAACTTAATAGAGTTCAGAGTTCACCCAGCATTTTATTTAACTGTAACACCGGGAAGGAGGAGGAGGAGGCTGGTGGTGGTGTTGTGTTGGCGGGGGTGTGACGGAGATTTTCAAGGTTACTGTGAATATGTGTGCAGAAGCAAGCCGTCTGAGGTTAGCTGCTCACACCTACACACGGAATAAGCCAACAAACCTTGATATCCACCTACACAACTACTGCACATTCAGTTTTACCTTCCTGCCTCTCTATCATCTGCATCACACACACACACACACACACACACACACACACACACACACACACACACACACAAACATTTCCTCCTGCAATTAGCACTTTTCCTCCTATAATTCATGCACGCCTGTTCTGGGGCCAGCGGGACTCATCATCCACAGAAGTTAATTTACACAGGCTGACCTCTTGCAGATGTTGCACCACTCGCCGCTTAACTAAGCCGCACACTGCACTAACCCTATCCTCAAAACAACATCCTTTAATTTATCTCCCTCTTTCCATCTCGTCGCTCAACCCACTGTGTCCTCTTTATCTGCCTCTTCATCGCTCTCCAGCTCCCTTTCAGCTGATGGAGCTTATTGTGGACAAATAGGCTTAGGAGCATCACTATGGCAACGGCGAATCGTAAAAAGCTACATAAGCACTTCATCAGGGGCCGTGATCCAATGGCTCCTGTGGGAGATGGTGCCCCCAACCTCCTGCAACAAGTAAAGGCAGGCCAGAGAGGCTCATGGGAGGAAGAGGAGGAGGAGGAGGGGGGGAGGCGGGAGACAGAGGGAGAGAGGTGGAGATAATGCTGTGGGACTGTGAGAGGATGAGAGAATCCATTTCTCTTCTCTCTGTCTCTCTCCGCTTTTCATTCAGCCAGTCTCCTTGGTATCCGTCCACCCATCTGTTGCCTGAGGACTTTTATTATTCTGCTCTGCAGTGATTTGGTTTCTCGGGGAGTGACAGAAAAACTTGAAAAGAAGAAGAACAGAAGAAGAAGAAGAAGAGGTAGGAAAATTTTGAATAAACAAATTGGAACAAATGATGTGATGCTTCAGCATGTTCAGAAGCTGTGTTTAAATCTGTAAAAGTAGGCAGCCGTCCAAGTGTGAAAAATCTTAGTTGTAATACTGAGCAGAGGGAATAATCTTGGAAAGAAGAAAGTTCAGGCCAGCCAATTTCTCTTGCAATTAGTTTTTTATTATTCATGGGAGGCAGGTCAAATGTAAATGAAACAAAAGCAGATAAACATAAAAGAGAAAAATGGCTATTTAGAGACACAAACATTTTTTACATTTTATTTATTTATTTATTTAAATATGTTTTCAAGCAAAAATGCCCCAAATATGTTTGTTACAGGTTCTCAAATGTGATTCCTTTTTTGGCCTTGTTTAAAAGGAACTGAATATTTTTGGACCCTTGGGCAGACAAAACAAGACAACACGAGGAAAAGACAATTAGAAGACAACACGTTTGGCTCTATGGAATCATGTTGCACATCCTATTTTATCATTACTGTTGTCTTATAGAGATTAAAAGAGCAAAGAATTGGCTGATTAATCAAATCACCCTACTTGTGTGTATTTCTTCTGTGAAATAATCTTCATTAAAACAATGTAGAAGTACATATAATAAGCTACAGAGCAATCACTGTTCTAATATACTGTAGCTGTATTGGCTGCATGTGTTTGATTCCATTTTGAAAGTGAGTCAGTCCACTGTTAGGGTCCACAGGTAACGCTGAGACCTGTCTCACTCTGTCATTTTGATGTCAGAGCTTTTCTCTGTACAGTCACCTACAGCACTAAAAACAGCCCCGCTCCATGGAAGCAGAGTCGTATAAAGCATTTACATCACCTGAGGACTGGACGACAACTTCAGCATCTGAACAGATTAACTCAAGATTAAAAGAGGACACTTACAAAACTAAATGGACTCCTAAAATGAAGACAGGATGAGGTACAACAATATATGTGTACAACTGTTAAATACACAGTGTATGCTTTATAAACCTGCCTCTGAAGCAGTTTTGAGGAGATCACAGGCATGGATGGATTACTGAACGGGCCTACTGGCAGTGGTGTAGTGGTAGTTGATGAGGTGGGTGTACTACTAGGGAGATAAGGAGACTACCGAGGAGGAATTGGGTACACTCTCCTTTATATTCCAATGGTTCTTTGACTGATAGTTGGGTATACTGGTAACGGCTAGAAAGAAGAGGTGGATTTACTCTGTATACCTGCGTATACCTTCCACTACATCACTGCCTATTGGGCACAGGCCTAGCGATCCAAAGTGTCAGGGCTCTGCAAAATGTTGTTTAAATTAACACGTACTGACCAGGAAGAAACACAAAACAACGAAAAGATGCACAACTTCAAAAAATGCAAAACAATAACGAAAAAGGAGGCAAACATCTTAAAGTCTGTGTGTCTTGGTCCTGTGTAGGAGAGGCCTTTAACATATCTGTGCCCAGAGGCCCACAGTCTTATAATCCACCCATTATTACACCTTGGGCTACAATTAAGGATTTTTTATTTTCTCAGTTAATTGATCAGTCATGTGACATTTAAAATATCAGAAGGGTGCAAAATGTTTCCAGCCCATTCTCATTCCGAAGTCATCGAATACTAACGCTTTGTCAGTGATTCCAGTCTCAGACACCTGACGCCAAAAGCTACTTTTCTCAGTAGTATGATAAGCCACTGGACAGCGTCCAATTTAAACGCTGATGGCAACAACGTTGCATAAGGAGCTTGAAAGTCCCCATTGGATTGGCAGGAGGGGTGGTGGAATGGTCCAACAGACCCTGGACTTTCACCTGGGAGGCTGGTGTTTGCTTCACATTTGAATGTAGAGCCAAACCATGAGGTTTTTCTTCTAAACCACACAAAGACACTAAGACACAAAGTGTGTAGTATGTAGACGTGAAAGACCACTGACAAAGCGGCGATATTTGATGACGGGATGAGAACATGTTGGCTTGTCACCATATCCTGAAGCTCAGTGGGTCCAATTCTTCAACTTATTTTGTCTGACCAGTTCAGACCCCCACAATATTCAGTTTACGACTGCAGCTACTGATGATATTCATTGTTGATTAAACAAACAATCAAACAAACAAACAAAACTGCAAAAGCTGAAGGTGACATCTTGAAAAGTCTTGTTTTGTTCAACCAACAGTCCAAAACCCAAAGATTTTTACTTTACTATTTAATATGGCAAAGAAAAGCAGCAAGTCCTCACATTTAAGAGGTTGGGACCAGACACTGTTTGTCATTTTTTGTTTGTTTTTTTCTTGAAAAATTAAAGTAAATTGATCAATCATCTAGCAAATAGTTGGTTAACTGATTTGGAGACTAATCATTTCAGGTTTGATACAGTTTACAATCACAAAAACCAAAGAAAAGCAGCAAATCCTCACATTTAAAAAGCTGGAACTGAAGAAAATTTAGCATCTATACTTTAAAAATGACAAACGATTATTTGAATATTGAAATTGTAGCCAATTAATTTTCTGTCGATCGCCGAAACATTGATGTCTCCAAAGAGTCCTTAAAGCTTTTTATTCTGAATTAAGGACAAACCTTCATTAGTGGCCTTCTCTGTTATGTTTTACTTTCATCACCAAAAGCAATGCAAACAAAAGACTGTTGAATTGAATACGGCAGCTGTGGGAGCAGATATCCACCTGTTGAACAAAGAGCCGGTGGATGGGAGAGACAGGGATCGTTGTCTTTTGGGAATTTGCCCAGATGTGGAAACATTATTCAGATCTGGAGATATAAATTATGCAAACTACCTCTTTTCTGTGTGGTAAAAATAGTATAAAAACTATAAAAAGGATTTCATGTGTTCTCTACGACTGCTGCATTTTCAGACAGCTTTGAAAAGTGACAAAACAAAACAAACAATCAACTGAATTAGACGATCAATTAAATGTTCGATATTGAACAGCAACAGCTGCAACTGTTTTATTGGTTTCACATTTCAAGCTCTGCAAAGCACAAAGATTTCAGTTACTGTATAACCTTTCCAAAATGTCTTATTAACTTTTAATAAAAGCAGCAGATCTAATCTGTAGGCCTGTATGTGTTCTCCTTTTATTCTCCTGTCACACACAGCTTTGAAATTAATTCAGCTCAGCACACACTTCTGTCTTGGCAGGATTTGTTTGTGATCTCATTTATTTTGAGGTCACGTCCAATCATGTCAGTGTGATGATGACTACCTCTGATTGCCTCTGTCATCAGGGGGCTGTGAAGGAGGACAAGGCCATGGCCTCCTGGTTCAGCTGGAATGAGCCGACTCACAGGAGCCCCCAGCGGGACCCGGCAGACGTGGTCACCGACACCCTGATGCTGGAGTTCAGCTGGCAGCTGAAGGAGGCGGAGAGGCTGCAGAGAGAGAGAGAGAACGAATACAGGCGCCTCAAGACCGGAGTGGACTACAGCTGGCTGGCCAACACGCCTCGGTCCTCCTACAACATCAGCACCGGGGAGAGGCTTGGTCTGGAGGAGCTCTGCTCCAAGTTGCCGCCTCCCTGCTGCGGCCTGGTCATACTCAAGTAAGGAGACACAGACACTGAGCATGAGCATTAAAGGATATTACTTTGATTTCTTGATCATGAAACTCCACTCTGAGGAACAATAATCTCTTTTAATTTTAGAGTTATGGACAAAAAAAATAACCATTTGATGAAAGAAATATCAGACCCACATCACCACTAAAACTTCATCTGCTCCTTAGCTGAAGTCAAAGGTGTGCTTAAAGGAATACTTCATCCCCCAAATGATCATTTGTATATTAATTTCTCACCCTGTGCTGCACTGAATTGATGAATATAACTTGTTTTCCTCACTTGCCTCCACGATAGATGAGGAATCCAAAAACGGAGAAAATTCTTGATGAATTGAAGTCATAGGGGGCCATGTTTAACAACAGCAAAACTGTATCAAAACATCAGTTTACAAACACTCACACAACTCCTGCACTATAATTTAAAGGGCCAGTGTGTAATATTTGGCATGGTTTATTGACAATCTGAATCTGAATATTCTACCCATTAATATGTTTATACAAGTGTATAATCGCTATAAAATAAAATTTGTTTGGTTTTCGTAGCCTTATAGTTATGCTTTTATATATATATATATCAAGGGCCTTGCTTTAGAGAGGTCGCCATCTTGCGCCGCCATGTATGTAAGGCAGCCCGAGCGGACAATCCAGCCAGCCAGAGAACGCGTTTTGCGTGTATAAATAAACCAACGAAGACAGTGGAAGGAAGGAAGAAGGAGGAGGAAACAGCAGAGAGTGTTAGTAGTTCGTCGATAGAGAGTAGTGAAAAGTTTTTTTAGTTATAAAGTTTGCGAATGGACCACACTTACCACGCAACAGGAGAGAATGAACCCGAACCGTCATCTGCGAGGAAAAGAAGATGCAACTTCACTCCTTGTGATGCACTCTCTGCAGCGCTTTTCCTCCTGATGATATATCTCCCCAGCGTTCAGCCTCTTTTCTCGCCCGCTCAGCATCAAACACATGGAGTTCCTCATCTGTATGCTCCGGCTCAAACAGGTATGGCTCTGGGTCTGTGTCCGCTACAAGAAACTCTTCAAAATCGCGTTCAAAGTCGTCCATTGCAGCTACTATAGTCCGGAGATATCGCTAGGCTACATAAACAGCTGAGCTCTGTTTACCGGCTACGCTGTCAGTCAGTGTGCGGGCTGGAGATTGGTGGAGCAGAGAGGGGAGGGGGGTCCCCACTTAGTATGGTAAACGAGTATGTGTGTAAAGTTATGAAGTGTGTCTGTTACGCTAGAAGAGTCAGAGTTTGGGACGGAGTCTTTTACCCCCTGGAGTGTTACCGGAGTTTTTGGAGTGCTCAAATAAACTGGCCTTTTTCCCGAACGCTCCTCTGGTCTCCTGCTCGTGAGGGATTCATTACAATATCGTAACATGGTTTAGATTTCTAAATAAACATTCACCTCGTCGCTAGATAGACCTACTCCTGAAAAACTCGTGCGCAAGGCTTTTTGTCCCTACGAGGCCACCGTCATTTACCCGACGGGAGGGGTGAGCGAGTGAGCCCTGCAATCTAGAATTTGACCACTGATGTCACTGTTTTCAACCCATTTTACACACTGGCCCTTTAAGTCTCATTTATCCAGTCACATGCTCAGTACATCCAGAATACGTTGTCTTTTAGCTAAAACCTTACCAACTAAAAACACTTCCACATAAACAGTAGAGAAAAGCACCTGGGCAAGAAGGTGCATTTGTATTCCAAACTGATAGCAGAGCTCTAACAGAGGTGTGTCTAAGAGGTGTTTTAAATGGTAAGGTTTTAGCAAAAGTGTTTGCCTGTGTTTTCTTCACAAATTTAATGTAACATGCGATGAATAATTGATATACAAATCATCATTTTAGGGTGAAGTGTTTCTTTAATTTATAATTATGGCTGAGAAAGTAATCATTTAATGGACCCAAATCAAGTGGTGCCCCAGATACTGTTGAAGTATATCCTCCCGAGACCTGAACTTTTGTTTAATATGCATTTTTAAAATCTCCTAGCTATGTGGGATCAGTAGGACCTGATAAGAATAAAAAACTAAACATTGTCAACAATAATAGAGTCCCAGTGTCCTCAAACGGGACGATACGGAAGTTCCAATGTCTTCTAAAATTGGTAAACTTTGTTGCCATATCAAACTACAAACATTATTTTTCATATGTCAATAAGTTCCAACCATACAATGTGATCAGGTTTTGGACCTTGTCCACTTTTGTGTCGGGATCGGCTGCAGACTGACTTGGCAGAGATGGCTGCCATCTTGTTTTTACATGGATTAGTGTATTGTGCTCTAACTACCACTGGATGGCATAAAAAGTGTCCACAAATGAGGACAACAGGTCTAAGTTAAGAAAAATTAAATATAAGGTCAAGTAAACCCAAAATGTGATGTCTTCATATGAGGACACAGGGTTTCAGGAGGATATAGGCTACAGTAGTTTAAATCTATGTCAATATGATAGTTAAGGAATCGCATAGTAATATACTTTGGTTTCTTATTTTACAGTTAATATTACTAATTATCTGATGTGCAAAGACTAATAGGCCCACTGCAGTTCACATTTTGAGCTCTTCAGCAATCCTGTTTCAGTGTTATGTATCTGTATGTTAGAAGATTCATCGTTCTTTAAACAGACCTGTTGTCCTTTCCCTTAAAAGACAAATATACAGCTTTAATTTGAAGGAGTACACTGAACATGTATTGTCTCAGGGCGGCTGTAGACACCACCAAAACCCTAATCAGTCGACCCTTGGCTCAAGACCAAGATGCTCTTTAAAATCCATTAAAGTCAGCTGACAACTTGCCCGTGGTCCCTCACATGACTCTGTAATTCTTTGCTGTCTCCGTCCTTTAATCTGCAGCACAGACGTCCTGAGCTGGTTTGAGCATCTGTTCTCAGAAAGCTGCCGAGGTCTCAGGTGTCTCGTTAGAGATCGACAGTTTTTTGGGAAACAAGGCACATCTGGGTTTTCCCAAATGTCAGCCTCTTCTTCTTATTCTGTGTCTGGAACTTCCACAAAGTACACATAAAATTATAATATCAAAAGGACACTGAACTCTTACGTTGGACAGATGTTCAAAGGATAATTTGGGTTTTATAAAGGGAGGCTGTATGAGATAGGCTCACTTATCTATAGTCAGTGTATTACATACAGTAGACAATGGTTAGAGTGAACAACTGACCTGTCGCGCAACAGTGCACGGCACAGTTGGGCGTTTTTGCGTAGGAGTATGGAAGTTCTATGGTTGAGAAAATGTAGTGCTAAAGGGAAGGGCTGTCTGACAGTGATGTAAAGCGGAGAAAAATATTATAAATATAGCATCCACTGAGACTGATATCGATTATTTTTACATAGGGCTTTTTTTTAAGTGGCTACAATACATTTTGCTGAAAACCCTCATCCACAGCATTGCTGAGCTTCTGGGGTGCTAGTCCTGTCTGATTCTCCAAACAGGGAGCATGTTGACCCCCATCTACTGTATGTAATACACTGACTATTGATAAGTATCTCATACAACCCCACTTCCAAAAAACAGAACTATCCCTCTCAGGTTTGGTTGGAGTGAATATCAGGTTGATGACATTCTAAATCAGTGGTTCCCAACTGGTGGGTCAAGGTCCCAAAGTGAATGCACTGCAAGTGACTCACTAACATGCATGTCAAATTTATGAAAAACACACTATTAGTAAGTAAGTAAGTAAGTAAGTAAGTAAGTAAGTAAAGTTTATTTATATAGCACCTTTCACAGATATAAAATCACAAAGTGCTTCACAATAAAAGCAAAAACACAGACAATAATACAATGAAAATTCAATTAAAAAAATAAATGGAAATAAAATAAAATAAAATAAAACAAACCCATAAGAAGCAATAAAAGGAGGTAAAAACATTTAATCAGTCAGCCAAAGGCCTGTCTGAATAAAAATGTTTTAAGTCGCTTCATAAAAATAGTACAGGAATCTGTGGATCTCAGAGAGAAGGGGAGAGCGTTCCAGAGTTTGGGAGCGACAGCTTGAAAAGCACGGTCGCCTCGGGTTTTAAAATGGGTCCTAGGGATGGTGAGTAAAATCTGGTCAGAGGACCAAAGAGTCAAATTGGGCGAGTACGGGAGAAGGAGGTCGGCAATGTACTGTGGCATCTGACCATGTAAAGCTCTAAAAGTTAAAACCAAAATTTTAAAATTAATGCGGAATTTGATCGGTAGCCAGTGCAGAGAAGATAAAATTGGCGTGATATGTGATCTCTTGTTACTACTGATTAAAAGCCGAGCAACTGCATTTTGGACAATTTGGAGCCGGTTCAAAGTGGTTTGGTTTAAACAGGTAAAAAGAGCATTACAATAATCTAAACGAGAGGAAATAAAAGCATGAATAATCATTTCCATCTCAACTCTGGTCACCACAGATCTTAATTTAGCAATATTCCTCAAATGGAAAAAACAAGAGCTATTAAGCTGACTGACATGACTGTCTAGGGACAAGGACTGGTCAAGAATGACACCTAGATTTCTGACGGTAAGCTGAGCATGAGCACTTAAAGGCCCCAAAGAATGCATAATGACAGGAATGGAGTGATCAGGGGCAATTATAAGTGATTCTGTCTTTTTAAAATTTAACTGGAGGTAGTTGTCAGACAATCAGCTTTTAATAGCATCCAAACAATCATTTAAAATAGACGATTTTGGCTGGACTCATCAGTTGATGATAAATGATAAAAGATTCCGCTGTACTGACTAATAATCTGTCCGAGAGGCAGCATGTACAGGGAAAATAACGTGGGACCCAGAACAGAACCCTGCGGGACACCGCATGACAATGGCACTGCGTCCAACATAAATTGGCCAGCAGCAACTGAAAAACTCCTATCAGTGAGATATGAGGAAAACCAATCTAGAGCAGACCCAGTACAGTGAACATCCTGCACAGAGCTTTTATTTTGAAGTGGTGTTTCCTGCTGTAGAGTGACTAACAGACAGCTACTTAACAGAGACAGCAA